AAATATCAAGTTTAAAAGATAAATCCAAGCATATCCTTTTTTTGGAGGGTAGGGGGGGTCACCTCAAAGGGAATATGAAAAGTTCCGTATTTACCTAAATACACGGTGAGGTTTTCCACCCCAATTGGCATGGGGGGAAAAAGCCCCTCAGAATCGCATACAAGGACATCTCACTAAATACATTGTCTAATGTTAAACTGCTGCCAAAAGCAGCATCTGCTTAGCAATGAAAACCATGTATGAAGCTAGTTGAATGCAGCTGGCACTGACCGTGTCTATAAAACATAAGGCCCATATTGAGCAAACATGCTGATAGAAAACTTTTTTTTTTGTATAGCCCTTAAACAAATTATATGTATATAAAAAATAAAATAAAATGAATAGGTGTTCCCTCCACAGGGACCTGGCACTTGGCCTGCAAGTACGTAATACCAGGCCAGCACCAGAAGGGCCAGAACCAACCCTGACATCATCACTTCGGGGCCAAAATTGCTGCATTTGATCTTTGCCAAAACAGGCTGAGATTTTTTTTCGTTTTCTTTCTGATTTTATTTATTTATTTATTTATTTTTAAGTAAAATTTATCATGTCCCAAGTCAAATCAGCCAAATCAATTCCAAATCCGTGAGTCATTCAAGAACCAGATGTGGCCCTGCTACCGGCAAGCATCCTTCCCCCTCGCCCAGGGTTTCAGATATTTCCAAATCCTTTGGCGGGCATCCTATGTGCAGGCCCAATCCTGGAGGCTTGGGGTTCAGGTGCCCCTGAGTTTCACTTGCCCTCAGCCAGGTGACCACAGGAGCACACTAGGGAGGAGTCTCCCATTTCCATAAAGTTGGCATATAAGTGAGATCTTCCCACTTGAAGTGAAAACAGGAGGCTAACTATGTATTACCTTGGTCAAAGTACTACCCCCTGCCACATTTGTGGTCTTCCCCAACCAGTAGGAAAACCACTTTGGTGATCATGGTATTTCCCCTGCCAGGTTAAATTAGTGCAGTCCATTTGAATAAGACATACGATAGTACTCATTAAGCCCAGTCCCCCTCACTGCTGAGACTTTTTTTTTTCAAGTTATAGTGAGCCATGACATTGTATCCATTTTCACTTCCCTTTTATTCTCACAGCTGAACTGTGCCCTTCCTTTCCATTTCCAGTGATTCCTGTTGCTTCACCAGCCATAAATGCCTAGCAAACATTACCAAACAGGGCCCCAAACAGTTCACTCAGAATCCATCTTCTGCCTCCTCTTTCAGCCTGGCACATACGATTAGTGTTGCCCTGCCCTCAGTGAGATAAAGCCAGCCAGGTTACCCCATGCCTCACCTGCATATACATTTTTGAAGCATCCCAGAACCTGCGACAAGAACATCGGATTTCGGTCATGAGTGTGGGGGGAGGCTCGGGGCTAATCAGCACATGGATCATTTGTGGGGGGTATCTGGAGTACACGCACCTACTGGGCAGTGCTGAGCTGTGTGATCACCATGGCTTGAAATCCTGTTGACTCTGAGGCCCAGCCCAATAAGCTATATGGTAAATCATGAGCCTTTGGCTTTGGACTAATGCACATCAGTAGGTGCCAAAGTGCTGCAGGAGAAATACCCTGGCTGAGGTAGTGCAATTAAAATGTCACTGTGTAGTAGAGGGTGCACCCCTGTCTGCTTGTGAACAGGACTCCCTATGAGAGCTTCATAGTTAGCTTCCCACTGGCCGGCTTCCAGTGGGAGGATCTTGGCTACCTGCCAACTTTATGGAAATGGGAGATTCCTCCCTAGCTTGCTCCTGTGGTGATATGGAACTCTGGGGCAAGTGAAACTCAGAGGCATGCAAACCCCAAGCCTCCGGACTCGGGCTTGCACATAGGATGCCTGCCAAAGGATTTGGAAATATCTGAAGCCCCAGGTTGGGGTGGAAGATGCTTGCCAGTAGCAGGGTCATATATGGTTCTTGAATGATTCAAACAGTTTTGGAACTGATTTGGCTGATATGACCTGGGACATGAAAAATTGTCCTTTTAAGAAAAAAAAAAAAAAAGTGCCAAAGTGTATTTATGGAGTAGCTGTGTTAAAACGTGCAGTAGTTTAAAAAAAAACAAAAACAACATGGATCAATTGTAGGTAGATTGTGTCTGGGTGCTCTATGCAAATTGCTATAGCCATGTTAATTTAAAGGTTATTGCTTTCAAATTAGCTCCTCGCTTAATGCTCAAGGACAGCAGGGTCTGACAGTAAGGAGAGAGAAAAGGGGTTGCCAGGGGCAAAAGTTAGGGGGAAGCAGAGAGCAAAGGGGCTCTGACCTCTCCAGATTTAACTTCCCTGCTGTAGCAGTGGGAGTGGGACAAATTCAAGGCAAACCTCCAATAATTAGTTTCTATACTTGGAAAATTATAACAAATTTATAAATTTTCCATATAGAGAATCTAATTATTGGCAGGGAGGGGGGGTTGTCCTATAATCAGGGTCATCTTCTGTTCAAGTAAATATGGTAAATGGTAGTAAGTTTCCTTTAAAGACTAGTTCATGTCAAATTTGTGTTACTCTTGTGTTTCCTGTTTGAAAACTTTAATATAATCATATGGAATTTACTGGCATATTACAGAAAAAATTTTGTGCAGGTATTGGTGGGAATTTGTATTTCAGTGAGTGGAAGTTTGTGCCAATGTGCTTATTCACTTACCCAAGTAGAGAGCAGAATCCTGGCATGTGACTCATCTGACCAATCGCAAGCACTGAATATAGCTCAAATAATGAATTCTTGTAGAGACTGTGCAGAAAATGAAGGGAAATCTTGATACTCACAGATATATTCCACAAGAGTATTAGCAGAAGGAAGGTGAATTAATCAGTTAAACCATTTGTTAGAAATATTTCACCCAGGTCTAAATACAATTAGTAAGAATGTTGCATGGTTTCCTGACATACTAATGTTATACAAGAGCAGTAAACGAGGACGGGGGGTTGGATATGATGCTTTGACAATTGCAGGCTGTTTTCAGGCTCTGGTAGAAGGACTGCATTTGGTCACCAGATAGTGATATCTAACTGCTAGTCTTATATTAGGGCCATTTTCTTAACTTGTTGATTATACTGAACTGAAGATCTGGCAGGTTTTTAACATGGCATGTGTACATACTGGTGTATTTGTAGATCTTGTTTTGCTTAAGAGGTACTAGTCACAGATCCAGCACTGCCTTTATTTACGTGGCCCAGCGGGATGGAAGCTTTGTGACATTAGGTAGATGGCATAAAAGGTAGTGGGGGGAAGAGCATTTTAAAAGAAGGGGGAAGATCTAAAAGAAGCTGTCTTCTGTCGAATGCTCCCTGTGGAGCCTGGCAGACTTTTCAAGCCAGGATTCTCTATTTGATATTATATTTATTACAGTGGTAAACACAGTAAAAAAAAAAAGGGCTGTTACCTTATCCTTGTATAAGCACAGAGTAGCGGACATAAGGGTTTCACAGCCTACGTAGGTGAGATAGGTGTGCAGTAGGAAATGGGACGGCAACATAAAATGAACAGTGTGATAGCAGGAGGCACCCTGCTAGTTCCCATTTGTTTCGGTAGGGATAAACTAAATGGACGAAAACTGAGGAGATGACAGGGTTTGGCAGATAGGGCAAGGGACAAAAGGGTAAGAGGACTGCATGAACTGGGATGAAGGGACTGTGAGGAAGAGGAGGGAATGCTTCTTGCTTTAGTTGCTTCTGCTGCTGTTCTGGATGGCAGGAGGATGTGGTGGGAGGCTGCTCTTCCTTTTGCACTGCTTCCCTAAGGCTGCATGATGAGGGAGAGAATCCCCACCCTCGCACTTTCCCCCAGTGTAGGGGATCTTCCCTGAACAGTTCAGCTTTTGGGGAGGCAGAGTCCCAGCTGAACCTCATTTGTCCCCTGCCAGTCTACTGTAGCATCCCCAGTTTTGGCTGCCTGGCAGTCAGTTGTCCTTCAGGCTTACCAAGCTTGTGTGGGGACTTTTCTACAGTAGCTCTTTTCAAATGTCTTCCCTTTTTACAACAAAATGGCTACTTAGCTTTCCATAAGAGTAAGAAATTATATGGTGTAAGTGCCAATTGCCTTCCAGATTAGCCTTTTACAAACTGACTGCATGTAATTTCAAGTCTAATGCTCATCTGATCCATTGGATAAAAAAAGAATTAACTAAACTTGTAGCACTAGAGTGTGTTCATTAAGATAGAGCTGAGAGTCCAGTTTCAAGGACGTAAAAGCAAATTAGTTTTTAAAAGTCTATAAAGAAATTTGGATTTAGAAGAATTATGGAAGCTAAGTAGGCTGTCCCTTCCAAAAAGAGAAGTGAAAAAGGGTATCAGGCAGGGCCAGTGATGAACTGAGATCTGTATTCTCCTTCTTCTGTCTAAATGACTCTCTTCAGGTTGAAAAAAGAATCAAATATGTGAGTTATCATCTGCATTCAGCCTTATTAAAAGGCTTTGAAAAGCCAGCATGTGGGTTGGATACTTCAACATTACTTTCAAATGCACATTAGATGCTTGTACAGCTCTTGCAGCCCTGGCATATGCAAAACACCCCCGATATCATTGGTAGCAGCATATAAAAGAGCGTCACCACCAAAACTTAAAACAGTAATGCATCTTGTTTTAATAAATACAAAAATCATAGCACTGGTATTTGGGTAATAGCCTTTGCTTCTGGCATAGATAAAATAATTAATTCTCATGCATTGTTTAGACTGGAAATTGTTGTTGTTTGTTGTCAGTTGTTAGTAGCCAGCTGATTCTAATGCAAACCTCTAATCTAGGGAGGGAAATAAGCAACGAGCTCCGAGTTGCACCAGTGCAGTATACCCTGCTCTCAAATACAGATAAGCTGCATGAGTAAAAAGAGCAGCTACCCTACTGGCAGACTCCAGTGGATGGAATCTGCTGGATGGAGAAAAGACTTCAGCCTGTTTGTCTTTATGTCTTGTCTGGCAAATACATTTGGCAGAGTTCATAATATGTTCTAAATGTTGTTTCTTTAAGCTCATGAGTGCTATTCAGAAGGGCTATGTCTCTGGGAGCCGACTTGCAGTGCTCATGAAGACTGCTGAAGAGAATCTACATCAGAGAGTTGTAATTCCAGTGGATCGAAGTGGAGGTGGACTGTGAGTCTAACTACAAAACCTGCTTACAGCTACAAGATAGTGGATATGTGTAGCTGCTTCTGTGTGTGGAAAAACATTCCAATGCTTTCGATTTGTCTCTGCTTATTCAACATGATCAGTATCTGGCATTCAGTGCCGCTTCTCGAAAAAGTACATTGGCGCATTTATCTTTTCCTTATTAACATTTTCTGAACAGCTGTTAATGCTTCAATATGTGGCCTTTTGGACTGAACATGCTTTAGGTGTAGAATTTATTAGTGGGAATTCAGAGTCCTGTCTGGAAAAGATTTGTGTGCGCACGCACACACGTATGCATACAGACATGCACATGCACCACCAGCCTTGTTCATTAAACTTTGGTATCCTTAAAAAGAAAAAAAAAAAAAGATGCATAGAATGGGTCACATCTTAAAAAAAAAAAAAAAAAAAAAAAAAAAAAAGAGAGAGAGAGACTGCATGTATCAAAGTGTTGCCTAGTTTGTTTGTTTATGGGTTTTTTTGTTTCCTTCTTTTTATAGGAATAATTATTTAGGGCAAGAGGGCAAATGTTCGTTTCCAGGATATCGGGAGAGTAGCAAGAACTAGCTCAAAAATTTTGTAAATTAAATGTTCTGCTAGGGAATTGATATTTATAGATAGAAGTTTTTAGTTGTTTTCAGCATTTTGTTATTTCAGTGGCATCGATAGTTTGCCAGACTAATGTCCAGCAATAAAGTTTTGGAAGCATGAGAATGGACAACCACAGGAAGAATTGCTAAAATTATATAAGTTAGAGGAAAAGCAAGGGTACACCTTTTCTTCCCCCATGTTTGTGAAAAGTCTTCTGGCCTGAGTAAATCGCTTGGTCTGGCAAGTGTTGCCACATGTTGTGAAACCTCTTGTACTGTTTGTTTTTGTGCTTGTAGACAAATGCGGAATGTATGTAAAATAGCTAGACCTCTGTGGTAGTGTTTGCACTATCGCTTTTTTGCCACTTTTATGTTTGTAAAATGCACAAGCATCGCATGAAATAAGAAAGTTAATTTGCATTCCAGCAGACTTTACTGAGAAGTGTAAAGGCTATTTTTCAGCAAATTAAAAGCAAAGTTAAGAGCCAGTTTTGGACCACTTATTTGAGCCATTCTCAACATATGCCATACCTGGCTGTTTGCCTTGTGATTTTTTCTGTTGTTAGCTTTAACTAGGACTGGCATCAAGATCAGATCGAAAATTTTTGCCTGATATACTGTGGGGAAAGGAAAATCTATGAATAATTTTATGGATGCTTCTCTCTGATTATAGATGCCAGTTTACATCTCAGACCAGAAGCCTTGAGTATTAGGTGCCAGAATATCTGCACATACTTGTATGTTGCAATTTTTGTAAGGAAAAAAATTAATATTCTGCAACACTACAAAACTGAAAAATACATATTTCTTTTTTTAGAAAAATAGGGAAAATATATGCCAACTATATAAGTGCAGAGATTTCCTTACTATCCATGATGATAATAGTAAGCACAAGTGTCATTGTTTGAAATTTTTCTTCTAGAAAGTTCCCTCCTATGAAAAGTGGTGACTATCTAAAATAGTAAAGGAGAAAAACACCTAAACTTCTGTAAATAATTGTATATTTATCAGTCCAAGACAGATATATGGCAGCTTGTCTCTGTAAAGTCTAGGGAAAGAAATAGTCTTCTAAAAAGTCCCAGGTGACATCCCCTGGAAAAATGTTTTGCTTATTAGATTTGGCTTACGTACCTTGTACCTCCCTGCACACATGGCATGAGGGAAACTCAGCTGTCTCGCTTGGAGACCTGCGTATTCTCATTTGGTTCAGTCTATGTGATAAAACCTTCTGACCGCTTGACAATGTGATGTTTATTTTGAATAAAAAGGATTGTTTCCCTGTGGCTCTGTCAACTTTTTTTCTGTTGAATATGCCAACATTTGCAAGATAAAATATATATCTGTATATTTTCAAGATAAAATATAATCTTGAAACGTAAAGCTGGATTTGCCAAATAAGCTGTCCAAGCAGAGTAAAGAACCCCAAACCAATGTTATTACATATCACAGTGTTTAAGGGTAGGGAGGAAGGGAATAAATATACAACAGTACAAGGTTTGGGTTTGGTTTTTGAAAGGACTTATGCTACCAGTAATTTTTAAACTGTAATTCTAATAGATGAAGTGAAAGTCTCTTTTCATGTCAGGTAAAGAAAACCATTATACTTGTGTAGTTCAGTAATATATATATTTTAGTTGTCCATCCTGTTACTCCCCCTTTCTCTCCACCTATCTTCAAATTCCTCTCAGTGTGATTGAACAGATTTCCTGTAAAGCCAAAATTATATCCAATACACTTCTTGCTGTTCTCCTGTTTTACTAATAATGCCATCAGAATATAATGCTGGGATTTTCATGGCAGTGTGCAAGTCATCAAATTCTGATTTACATGAATTTTAGCCAGGTTACTGTCTTAGCCTCTGCTTTTCTATTTTGTCATAGTACAGCCAAGTGTGTATAACCACCTATGTTGTACAATAGGAAAAAAATAGCACATGTTATTTACAATGGCTTAAATCAGTAAAATAATAAAATCCAGAATTATTTTATTTCATCAACTCACTTTGTTTCCAGATGAGATTGCCTCACAAGCTTACTGTTGAAGTCAAAGCAACTATAAAATTTCAGTGTCTGGCATTGTTCTAATATTATGTGAAGCAACTACTGTGCTCTTTAACAAACAAGCCTAAGCCCAGGAGTGGTGTGTATATATACTGCATGTTTTTACATGTGGCACTTTTATGTATTGTGTTGGGCTATTGTTCTAGATTGGACTGTTAAATACTGTGTTTGAGGCTGGGTTGTCATTTTTATAACTGTCTTGGTGTTTTATTGCCATTATTTATTACTTTTGATATACAGAATGAGCTGCATGCATTTATAGAGCAATAAGAGGATGTATTTAATGTGCCTTGTTTTTAACTGAATAAGAACTGAAAGCATGAATCAATAAAACTGATTAAAATGGTCCACTCACTGGCATTTTGATGTTACTGGCAGTTACAGAAATAACTTTGATTTGCCTTGAACAAGTTTAAAACAAAAGTTCAAACCAGATGCTTTTTCCTAAATGATATATAATTTACATGTTGTCATCTTGACTTGGAATTCAGCAATTTTAAAACAAAAAGTAAAAGTGATAAGCTAATATAGTTTGTACTAATGGTAAAGCTGTTTGTGTTCACCGATGAAACACAAAGTAAGATATGCCAAATATTCTCTTTTGCAGTCTCATCCTAAAATCTCAGGCAGCCAATTGCAACCAAAGCCTTTCAGGCCAAGTGTTCCTATGTATGCTGATGAATTTTATCAAAACTTAAATCAGTAGAAATGAATGCAAAAGATTATGTAATCCATTTTGATCATTTTACATGTCAAGTTAGTCCAGTGTTGCCAAGTGTTGATAAATGTTCTGACAGAAAAAATGCTATATATTTTCACTGTCAGTAAATCAGGAAAGCTGTTATCAGTTTTAACACAAATTTTATAATGCCCATATTATTTTATAGGTTTTAATTTACACATGTAACAGGGATAATTCTGCATTTGCAGTTTAGCCATACTGTATGAAGGCATTGTATATATGCAGCAGGGGTGAACCTTCCTTCCCACCCACAGCTCAGTAGGTATACAGGATTTATACTTCCTGAGTATAATTCTGAAAGAATAAACATTGTCTAGGTATCAGAAAACATTTGCCATAGTCAACACCCTCAAATACTTTGCATCCTTAAAATAGCTGAATTTTTAAATGAAATTCCTATTAAAATGAACAGGAGCCTTGCTAAATAACAAACTTCAGGCCTGGAGCCTCCCTCTTAGCATGATCTTTGCATCAAATATGTGGAAAGTGTAGATTTATAGTAGCTAAAACAGGTTGCAGTGAGCATAGAAAAATATTATATGGAATATCATAGCAATGTTAATATTTAAGTACCAGTGCTTGATCGGGTTGGTACGTACCTTAAATTTGGACTGATTGCATCTGGTAAGAGAAGGAGAAATGCTAGAAGCAAAAACACCTTCAAGAAAGATGTTTCTTTAGTACTAACCAAGTTTTGTTTCTCCCTAAGAAAAATGAAGGGCCTCTCATGATTTCAGGTTTTTTTTTCCTTACATTTTAGCCCTCATTCCCCTAATTAGCCACACGAGTTGTGAATGTACATAGTGTGACGCAAGAGCTTTGATGACACCGCAGGATATTTGCACAGGTACTGTGACAAGAAGGTGTGGGCTTCACTCCAGAATCAATACTTTTTAACACAATACAAGACACCACTGATATAATAGGCAGCTTACTGGGTGCATCATTACTCTTCTTATTTCATAAATAGAGGCAGAGGCTAATATGTTGATATCCTGAGCTACTTGGCAAGCTCTTTTTTTTTTTTTTTTTTTTTTAAATCACATTTAGTTTTTTACAACAGCCTTTCAAGAAGACTTAGATGCATATTAGACTCTTCAGCTGGTTATGCACAGAATAGAAGAGATCTCTTCCTGCAAAATTTCAGAATTCTTAGTTGGGACTACATCTGTAACTGAGTCTGACCCTTAGCAAACACCAAATAGCATCATCTACTCTCCTAAGTCTGGTTCTTGTGACCCATCACAGCCTGAGAAATAACCCAACGTGACGTCACTGTTTCAACTCTTCGAATTAAAGTGATTTCAGCAGGTTGGCTTTTCCTTATTTAATGGTGACTAGACAGGTTCTTTATATATAGGTGCATGGTTTGGGTAATTCATTTTCTTGAATATAGTGCTGCTTGATAGTACAGTTCACATCCTGCTTTCCATTTCAAATATCTAGAAATGCATTGAAGCTTTCTTATTACAATGTAGCTGGATATGTGAATCTGACTGTTTCTCCTCTGTATGCTTTAGTTAACTAAACAAGACACATTTGGTTCTGTCTTACCAAGATACCTTAATCTGTTTGTCTAAGTGATGTAAATGTAATTAGCTTGATCAGTAAAACTGACACAAACTAAAGTGAGCTGAATCAGGGTAACCTGATTCTAAGGTCTTCTTACTCCCCAGAATAAATAGAAGACTTTTTCCCCTTTAATTTGATCTGTTATGAGTTGCTGCTTCGTTTGTTTTACTGAACCACTAAGATTCATTTTTTTTTATTTTTGCATCTCTACAATTAACTGATTTGCAATTCATTTTTATGCATGCTGAGTTTTTCCTGTCCAAGTCAAGAAGCTGTAAATCTTAGATCTGTTGAACTGACAGTGAAATATATTTCATTTTTCCCCATGAATCATTTGCCATCCTTATTGCAGAAAAATGGCAAAATTATGGTGTACCATGTTTTCATAAATTACTGCTCTCCCCCCAC